TCTATCTAACTCTATTGTCCCAACACCACTGGTATACATAGGACGTACAGGTAACTAACTAGTCAATACTACTCTATTCTATCTAACTTATATGTCCCAACCACCACTGGTATACATAGGACCACAGTAACACTAGTCATACTACTCTATTCTTCAACTCTATGTCCCACCACCACTGGTATACATAGGACCACAGGTAACTAACTAGTCAATACTACTCTATTCTATCAAATCTATATATGTCCCAACACACCACTGGTATTACATCGGACCACAGGTAACTAACTAGTCAATTACCACTCGTATTCTATCTAACTCTATATGTCCCAACACACCACTGGTATACATAGGACGTACAGGTAACTAACTAGTCAATACCTACTCTATTCTATCTAACTCTATATGTCCCAACGCACCACTGGTATACATAGGACCACAGGTAACTAACTAGTCAATACCACTCATTCTATCTAACCTATATGTCCCAACACACCCATGGTATACATAGGACCACAGGTAACTAACTAGTCAATACATACTCTATTCTATCTAACTCTATATGTCCCAACACACCACTGGTATACATAGGACCACAGGTAACTAACTAGTCAATACTACTCAATCAATCAATCAATCAATTTTATTTTATATAGCCCTTCTTACATCAGCTAATATCTCGAAGTGCTGTACAGAAACCCAGCCTAAAACCCCAAACAGCTAGTAATGCAGGTGTAGAAGCACGGGTGGCTAGGAAAAAACTCCCTAGAAAGGCAAAACCTAGGAAGAAAGAAACCTAGAGAGGAACCAGGCTATGAGGGGTGGCCAGTCCTCTTCTGCTGTGCCGGGTGGAGATTATAACAGAACCATGCCAAGATGTTCAAAAATGTTCATAAGTGACAAGCATGGTCAAATAATAATCAGGAATAAATCTCAGTTGGCTTTTCATAGCCGATCATTAAGAGTTGAAAACAGCAGGTCTGGGACAGGTAGGGGTTTCCATAACCGCAGGGCAGAACAGTTGAAACTGGAATAGCAGCAAGGCCAGGCGGACTGGGGACAGCAAGGAGTCACCACGGCCGGTAGTCCCGGCGTATGGTCCTAGGGCTCAGGTCTCTCAGTTGGCTTTTCATAGCCGATCATTAAGAGTTGAAAACAGCAGGTCTGGGACAGGTAGGGGTTTCGTAGCCGCAGGCCAGAACAGTTGAAACTGGAATAGCAGCAAGGCCAGGCGGACTGGGGGACAGCAAGGTGTCATCATGCCCGGTAGTCCTGACGTATGGTCCTAGGGCTCAGGTTCTCAGAGAGAAAGAGAGAACGAGAGAATTAGAGAGAGCATACTTAAATTCACACAGGACACTGGATAAGACAGGAGAAGTACTCCAGGTATAACCAACTAACCCCAGCCCCCCGACACATAAACTACTGCAGCATAAATACTGGAGGCTGAGACAGGAGCGGTCCGGAGACACTGTGGCCCCATCCGAAGAAACCCCGGACAGGGCCAAACAGGAAGGATATAACCCCACCCACTCCGCCAAAGCACAGCCCCCGCACCACTAGAGGGATATCCCCAACCACCAACTTACAATCCTGAGACAAGGCCGAGTATAGCCCACAGAGGTCTCCACCACAGCACAAACCAAGGGGGGGGCGCCAACCCAGACAGGAAGATCACGTCAGTAACTCAACCCACTCAAGTGACGCACCCCTCCCAGGGACGGCAATGAAAGAGCACCAGCAAGCCAGTGACTCAGCCCCTGCAACAGGGTTAGAGGCAGAGAACCCAGTGGAGAGGGGAACCGGCCTGGCAGAGACAGCAAGGGCTGTTCGTTGCTCCAGCCTTTCCGTTCACCTTCACACTCCTGGGCCAGACTACACTCAATCATATGACCTACTGAAGAGATAAGTCTTCAGTAAAGACTTAAAGGTTGAGACCGAGTCTGCGTCTCTCACATGGGTAGGCAGACTGTTCCATAAAAATGGAGATCTATAGGAGAAAGCCCTGCCTCCCGCTGTTTGCTTAGAAATTCTAGGGACAATTAGGAGGCCTGCGTCTTGTGACCGTAGCGTACGTATTGGTATGTACGGCAGGACCAACTCGGAAAGATAGGTAGGAGCAAGCCCATGTAACGCTTTATAGGTTAACAGTAAAACCTTGAAATCAGCCCTTGCCTTAACAGGAAGCCAGTGTAGGGAAGCTAGCACTGGAGTAATATGATCAAATTTCTTGGTTCTAGTCAGGATTCTAGCAGCCGTATTTAGCACTAACTGAAGTTTATTTAGTGCTTTATCCGGGTAGCCGGAAAATAGAGCATTACTACTCTATTCTATCTAACTCTATATGTCCCAACACACCACTGGTATACATAGGACCACAGGTAACTAACTAGTCAATACCACTCTATTCTATCTAACTCTATATGTCCCAACACACCACTGGTATACATAGGACCACAGGTAACTAACTAGTCAATACTACTCTATTCTATCTAACTCTATATGTCCCAACACACCTCTGGTATACATAGGACCACAGGTAACTAACTAGTCAATACCACTCTATTCTATCTAACTCTATATGTCCCAACACACCACTGGTATACATAGGACCACAGGTAACTAACTAGTCAATACTACTCTATTCTATCTAACTCTATATGTCCCAACACACCACTGGTATACATAGGACCACAGGTAACTAACTAGTCAATACTACTCTATTCTATCTAACTCTATATGTCCCAACACACCACTGGTATACATAGGACGGACAGGTAACTAACTAGTCAATACCACTCTATTCTATCTAACTCTATATGTCCCAACACCACCACTGGTATACATAGGACCACAGGTAACTAACTAGTCAATACCACTCTATTCTATCTAACTCTATATGTCCCAACACACCACTGGTATACATAGGACGTACAGGTAACTAACTAGTCAATACCACTCTATTCTATCTAACTCTATATGTCCCAACACACCACTGGTATACATAGGACCACAGGTAACTAACTAGTCAATACCACTCTATTCTATCTAACTCTATATGTCCCAACACACCACTGGTATACATAGGACGTACAGGTAACTAACTAGTCAATACCACTCTATTCTATCTAACTCTATATGTCCCACACACCACTGGTATACATAGACCACCAGTTGAATAAATAGTCCAATACTACTCTAATCTATCGAACCTATATGTCAACACACCATGGTATTACATGGACCAACAGGTAATAACTAGCAATACCACTATATCTATCCTAACTCTATATGTCCAACACACCACTGGTTTATACAGGACCACAGGAACGAACTAGGGCACACCACTCTGATTCTATTCTAAACTCTAGAGTCCAACACCCCCACCCACCCAAAAACTGTTATAATAGCGACACAGGTAACTAACTAGTCACATACCACCTATTCTATCAACTCTATCTGTCCAAAACACCATGTAATAATAGGACCACAGGTAAACTAACTAGTCAATACTACTAAATTATATCTACTCTTAATGTTCCCAACACACACTGGATACATAGGACCACAGGTAAAACTAACTATGTCAATACACTCTATTCTATCTAACTATATATGTCACCACACCACACCACTGGTATACATAGGACCAAGGTACCATAGTCAATCAACTCGATTCTATTAATCTATATGTCCCAACACACCACTGGTTAAATAGGACCCACAGGTAAATAACTAGGTCAATAATACTCTATCTATCTAAAACCAGATGTCCCAACAACACCACTGGATTATACATAGGACACGGTAACTACTATCAATACACTCTATTCTATCTAACTCTATATGTCCCAACCCACCACGGTGGGTTTGTTAATATAAATAGGACAAAGGTAACTAACTAGCAATACCAAACTTATTCTATTAACTTATAGTCCCAAACACACCACCTGGTACCATAGGACCACAGGTACTAAATAGTCAATTTACTTACTCTATTCTATCTACCTATAGTCCTAAACACACCCAATGGTATACATAGGACCACAGGTAAACTAACTAGTAATACCAATCTATTTATATCTAACTCTATATGTCCCAAACCACCACTGGTTTAAAATAGGACCACAGGTAACTAAAAAACTAGTCTACTCAGTTCTACTCAGTTCTACAATACTTTACTCTACTCTACGGTGCTCTACTCTTTTCTATTCTAGAGTACATGATAACTATGTATGATACGAAGACACAGGAGCTGAGGTGGAACGCCACGTACAACGACTACTCTGCCCCGCCTTACGATGAGAAACAAAACTACAGTACGTACAGACACAATGATAATGTGATGTACACAGACACAATGATAATGTGACGTACACAGACACAATGATAATGTGACGTGCTGCAGTACACACAATGATAATGTGACGTGCTGCAGGACACACAATGATAATGTGACGTGCTGCAGGACACACAATGATAATGTGACGTGCTACAGGACACACAATGATAATGTGACGTTTTTTGGCGCAGTACACACCAATGAATAATGTGACGTGCTACAGGACACACAATGATAATGTGACGTGCTGCAGGACACACAATGTTAATGTGACGTGCTACAGTACACACAATGATAATGTGACGTGCTACAGTACACACAATGATAATGTGGGTGACAGTACACCACAATGATAATATGACGGCGACAGGGACACACATGATAATGTGACGTGTACAGGACACACAATGATAATGTGAAGTGCTTACAGGGACACACAATGATAATGTGAGTGCTAGCAGGGACCCACAATGATTAATGTGACGGACTGCAGTCCAACAAGTGATAACGTGACGTGTACAGGAACACAATGATAACTGTGGAGTGGCTACAGGAAACACAATGATAATGTGATGTGCTTGCAGTACACACCAATGATAATAGTGACGTGTGGAAGGACACACAATGAAAGTGACGTTGCACAGGACACACATGATAATGTGACGTTGCTCAGGGGACACCCAATGATAATGTGGACGTATACGGACCACAACTGATAATGTGGACTACTGCAGGACACACAATGATAATGTGACGTGCTGCAGTACACACAATGATAATGTGACGTGCTACAGGACACACAATGATAATGTGACGTGCTGCAGGACACACAATGATAATGTGACGTGCTTGCAGTACTACACAATAGATATGTGACGTTTTTTTTTTTGTGTGCAGGGACACACAATGATAATTGAGTGCTGCCAGGACACACATGATAATGTGACGTGCTACAGGACACACAATGATAATGTGACGTGCTACAGGACACACAATGATAATGTGACGTGCTACAGGACACACAATGATAATGTGACGTGCTACAGGACACACAATGATAATGTGACGGCGGGCAGGGACACACAGAGATAATGTTGAAGTGCTACAGGACACACAATGATAATGTGACGTGCTACAGGACACACAATGATAATGTGACGTGCTACAGGACACACAATGATAATGTGACGTGCTGCAGGACACACAATGATAAGGACGTGTGCTACAGGACACAATGATAAGGGACGCGCATGCAGGACACACAATGAAATGTGACGGGACTGATGCAGGACACACAATGATAATGTGATGTGCTGCAGTACACACAATGATAATGTGATGTGCTACAGGACACACAATGATAATGTGATGTGCTACAGGACACACAATGATAATGTGACGTGCTTCTCTGGTTCTGCACAGTGTGATAAAACAGTGGTTTCTGTTTCTCCAGAGATGGCCCATCTTGTTTCCAGTGGTGATGGGTTGGTGGTCACCGTGGACAGAGAGTCAGGTAACTTCTACCTTTTTACAGACAAGATATTACTACGTTCCCAACCACTACAGACACCGACCACACTTTGTTCTAACTGCACTGACCTGCTACAAGAAAACAACCTGCTTACACCGACAGGGACTGCTACAATAAACCTAGACTAGTTTATCCCAATGTTATTAGGTTATAACTTTAATTATTATCTCTCTCTCTCTATGTCTTCTTAAAATCTCCTCTAATTCATCCTCCTCTAATCTCTCTCTCGCTCTCTCTCTATCTCTCTCTCTCTTCTCTCTATCTCTCTCTCTCTCTCCTCTCGTTCTCATCTCCTCTCTCTCTCTTGGGTCTCTGTATTGTCTCTTGTCTCCTGCTTGTCTTCGTTTTCTGGTCTCTGTCTCTACCTCTCTCCTGTCTGTTCCTCTCCTCTATTCCCCAGGTGACGTCCTGTGGAGTCAGAACTATGTGTCGCCTGTGGTGGGTGGTAAACTGTACAGCAGGACCTCTGAGACACGCCCCTACCTGTTCAGTGCTGGAGGGAGCTGCGCTACCTAACCTTCTCGTCCCACGACACACCACACACACACCATGAAGTGGAAGCGACCGTTTGTCACGGAGCAGGCCAGCACACATACACAGCTGTGTAAGAGGCCACACACCACACACACACAACAAACAGACACACATCACACACACACACACAACCAAAAACATTATTCTTATTCAGCTCATATTAGGATCCCCATTAGTTCCGGCCAGGCGCAGCTACTCTTCCTGGGGTTTATTATGGATCCCCATTAGTTCCGGCCAAGGGCAGCAGCATCTTCCTGGGGGTTATTATGGATCCCCATTCCTAAAGGTCAGCAGCTAATTCTTTCCGGGGGTGTATTATGATCCCCATTAGTTCTGCCAAGGCGCGGTACTCTTCTGGGGTTGTGGTTATATGGTCCCCAAGTAGTTCTGCCCAAGGCGCGGCTAATCTTCTGGGGGTTTTATGGATCCCAATTAGGTCCTGCCAGGCACAGCTACTCTTCCTGGGGTATTATGGATCACCATTAGTTCATGCCACGGCAGAAGCTACTTCTTCATGGGGTTTATTATGGATCCCCCATTAGTTCCTGCCAAGGCGCAGCTACTTCCTGGGGTTTAGTATGGAACCCCATAGTTCCTGCCAAGCAAGCAGCTACTCTTCTGGGGCATTTATTATGGATCCCAATTAGTCTGCCAAGGCGCAAGTCTTTACTCTTCTAGGGTTTTATTTATGGATCCCCATAAGTTCCTGCCAAGGCAGCAGCTTACTCTTCTGGGGTTTATATGGATCCCCATTAGGTTCATGCAAGGCAGCAGTACTCTTCCTGGGGTTTATTATGGAATCCCCCTTGTTCTGCCAAAGGCAGCAGCTACTTTAATGGGGTTTATTAGGATCCCCATTAGTCCTGTCAACGGCAGAAGCCTACTCTTCCTGGAGTGTAGTATGGATCCCCCATTAGTTTCCTGCAAAGGCAGCAGACTCTTCCTGGGGATGATTATGGTCCCCATTAGTTCTACCAAGGCAGCAGCTACTCTCCTGGGGTTTATTATGGTCCCCCTTAGTTCATTGCCAAGGCCGCAAAGCTACTGCTTCCTGGGGTTTATTATGGAAACCCCATTAGTTCTGCCCAACAGGCAGCAGTACTCTTCCTGGGGTTTATTATGGAACACCATTAGTTCCTGCAAGGCAGCAGTACTCTCCATGGGGTTTAATTATGGACCCCTTCGTTCCGCCAAGGGGCGCAGCTACTCCTTCCGGGGTTTATTATGGGACCCCATTAGTTCCTGCCAAGGCAGCGATACTTTCATGGGGTTTATTATGGATCCACATTAGTTCTGCCAAGGCAGCAGCTACTCTTCCTGGGGTTTTTATTATGGATCCCATTCGTTCCGCCAGGCAGCAGCTACTCTTCCTGGAGTTTAGTATGGATCCCCATAAGTTCCTGCCAAGGCAGCAGGCTACTCTTCCTGGGGTTTTAGTATGGATCCCAATTGTTCTGCCAAGGCAGCAGATACTCTCCCCTGGGGTTTATGATGGATCCCAATGAGTTCTGCCAAGGCAGCAGTAATCTTCCGGATTTATTATGGATTCCCCATGGTTCCTGCCAAGCAGCAGCTAATCTTCCTGGGGTTTATTAATGGATCCCCATTAGTTTCTGCCAAGGCAGCAGCTTACTCTTCTGGGGTTTATTATGGATCCCCCATTAGTTCCTGCCAATGGCAGCATGCTACTCTTCCTGGGGTTTATTATGGATCCCATTAGTTCATGCCAAGGCAGCAGCAGCTACTATTCATGGGAGTTTATTATGGATCCCCATTAGTTCCTGCCAAGGCAGCCGCTACTCTTCCTGGGGTTATTATGGATCCCCATTAGTTCCTGCCAAGGCAGCAGCTTATTTCTGGGTTTATTAGGATCCCCATTAGTTCCTGCCATGGCAGCAGTACTCTTCTGGGGTTTAGTATGGATCACCATTAGTTTCCTGCCCCAAGGCAGCAGCTCTCGTCATGGGGTATTATGGATCCCCATTAGTTCCTGGCCAAGCAGCAGCGCTCTCCTGGGTTATTATGGATTCCCCATTCGTTCCTGCAAGGCAGCAGCTTACTCTTCTGGGGTTTATATGGTCCCATTAGTTCCTGCCAAGGCACGAGGCTACTCTCCTGGGGGTTTATTATGGATCCCCATTAGTTCCGCCAAGGCAGAGCAGCTACTCTTCTGGGGTTTATTATGGATCCCCATAGTTCCTGCCAAGGCAGCGCTACTATTCCTGGGGGTTTATAGGATCCCCTTAGTTCCGGCCAAGGGAAGCTACTCTTCCTGGGGTTTATATGGATCCCCATTAGTTCCTGCCCATGGCAGGCAGCGTTACTCATTCCTGGGGTTATTATGGATCCCCATTAGGTTCCTGCCAAGGCCAGCAGATACTCTCATGGGGTTATATGGATCCCCATTAGTTCCTGCCAAGGCAGCAGCTGCTCTTCCTGGGTTTATATGGATCACCATTAGTTCCTGCCAAGGGCAGCAGCTACTCATCCTGGGGGTGATTTGGATCCACATTAGTTCCTGCAAGGCCAGAGGCTAATCTTCCTGGGTTTATTATGGATCCCTCATTAGTCCTGCCAAGCAGCGGGCTACTCTTCCTGGGGTTATTAGGATACCCATTAGTTCCTGCCAAGAGGCAGCAGATACTCTTCTGGGGTTGATTATGGATCCCCATTAGTTTCCTGCCAAAGGCAGGCAGCTACTCTTCGGTTTTATTATGGATCCCCATTAGTTCCTGCCCAAGGCAGACAGATACTCTTCCTGGGGTTTATTATGGATCCCTCATTAGTTCCTGCCAGGCAGCAGCTACTTTCCTGGGGTTTATTAGGATTCTCCATTAGTCCTGCCAAGGTCAGCCCGCTACTCTTACTGGGGTATTATGGATCCCATTAGTTCCTGCCAAGGCAGCAAGTACTCTTCCTGGGGTTTAATGGATCCCCTTTAGTTCCTGCCAAGGCAGCGGGCTACTCTTCTGGGGGTTTATATGGATACCCATTCGTCTGCCAAATGGCAGCAGCTACTCTTCCTGGGGTTTATTATGGATCCCCCATTAGTCCTGCCAAGGCCCCAGCAGCTACTCTTCCTGGGTTATTATGGATCCCCATAGTTCCTGCCAAGGCAGCAGCTACTCTTCCTGGGGTTTATAGGATCCCCATTAGTTCATGCCAAGGCAGCAGCGAATCTTCCTGGGGTTTATATGGTCCCCATTAGTTCCTGATAAGGCAGAGGCTACTCTGCCTGGGTTTATTAGGATCCCCATTAGTTCCGCCGAAGGGCAGAGCAGCTTACTCTTCCTGGGGTTTATTAGGATCCCACTTAGCAGGTCCTGCCAAGCCGCAGCTTACTCTTCCTGGGGTTTAATTATGATCCCCATTAGTTCCTGCCAAGGCCAGCACGCTACTCTTCCTGGGGTTTATTATGGGAATCCCCATTAGTTCTGTCAAGGCAGCAGATACTCTTCCTGGGGTTTATTCTGGATCCCCATTAGTTCCTGCAAGGCAGCAGCTACCTCCGGGGGTTTATTATGGATCCCCCATTAGTTCCCATGCCAAGGGCAGCAGTGCTCTCCTCGGGTTCCAGCAAAATTAAGGCAGTTATACAATTTCAAAAACATTACAATACATTCACAACAGATTTCACAAAACATTGAGTGTGTGCCCTCCGGTCTCTACTCTACTACCACATATCATATCAAAAATCCATGTACAAAATGTGTGTATAGTGTGTATGTTTTCGTGTGTGTGTGTATGTTTGTTTTGCTTCACAGTCCCCGCTGTTCATAAGGGCCTGTAGGACCTGCCTTGTTTATAACATTGTAAGAAGGCAGAGCAGCACTTTATTATGGACAGACTTCTCTCCCATCTTAGCTACTGTTGCATCAATATGTTTTGACCATGACAGTTTACAATCCAGGGTTACTCCAAGCAGTTTAGTCACCTCAACTTGCTCGATTTCCACATTATTCATTACAAGATTTTGTTGAAGTTTAGGGTTTAGTGAATGATTTGTCCCAAATACAATGCTTTTAGTTTTAGAAATATTTAGGACTAATTTATTCCTTGCCACCCATTCTGAAACTAACTACAACTCTTTGTTAAGTGCTGCAGTCATTTCAGTCGCTGTAGTAGCTGACGTGTATAGTGTTGAGTCATCCGCATACATAGACACTCTGGCTTTCCTCAAAGCCAGTGGAATGTCGTTAGTAAAGATTGAAAAAAAGTAAGGGGCCTAGACAGCTGCCCTGGGGAATTCCTGATTGTACCTGGATTATGTTGTAGAGGCTTCCATTAAAGAACACCTCTGTGTTCTGTTAGACAGTTAACTCTTTATCCACATTATAGCAGGGGGTGTAAAGCCATAACACATACGTTTTTCCAGCATCAGACTATGATCGATAATGTCAAAAGCTGCGCTGAAGTCTAACAAAACAGCTCCCACAATTTTTTAAATCATCAATTTCCAATCATCAGTCATCTGTGTAAGTGCTGTGCTTGTTGAATGTCCTTCCCTATAAGCGTGCTGAAAGCCTGTTGTCAATTTGTTTACTGTAAAATAGCATTGTATCTGGTCATACACCATTTCTTCCAAAACTTTACTAAGGGTTGGTAACAGGCTGATTGGTCAGCTATTTGAGCCAGTTAAGGGGGCTTTATTATTCTTAGGTAGGGGAATCACTTTTGCTTCCCTCCAGGCCTGGGGGCACACACTTTCTAGTAGGCTTAAATTGAAGATATGGCAAATAGGAGTGGCAATATCGTCCGCTATTGTCCTCAGTAATTTTCCATCCAAGTTGTCAGACTACGGTGGCTTGTCATTGTTGATAGACAACAATTTTTTCACCTCATCCACACTCACTTTAAGGAATTCAAAATTTCAACGCTTGTTTTTCATAATTTGGTCAGATATACAGTGAGGGAAAAAAGTATTTGATCCCCTGCTGATTTTGTATGTTTGCCCACTGACAAAGAAATGATCAGTCTATAATTTTAATGGTAGGTTTATTTGAACAGTGAGAGACAGAATAACAACAACAAAAATCCAGAAAAACGCATGTCAAAAATGTTATAAATTGATTTGCATTTTAATGAGGGAAATAAGTATTTGACCCCCTCTCAATCAGAAAGATTTCTGGCTCCCAGGTGTCTTTTATACAGGTAACGAGCTGAGATTAGGAGCACACTCTTAAAGGGAGTGCTCCTAATCTCAGCTTGTTACCTGTATAAAAGGACAGGTGTCCACAGAAGCAATCAGTCAATCAGATTCCCAAACTCTCCACCATGGCCAAGACCAAAGAGCTCTCCAAGGATGTCAGGGACAAGATTGTAGACCTACACAAGGCTGGAATGGGCTACAAGACCATAGCCAAGCAGCTTGGTGAGAAGGTGACAACAGTTGGTGCGATATTCGCAAATGGGAAGAAACACAAAAGAACTGTCAATCTCCCTCGGCCTGGGGCTCCATGCAAGATCTCACCTCGTGGAGTTGCAATGATCATGAGAACGGTGAGGAATCAGCCCAGAACTACACGGGAGGATCTTGTCAATGATCTCAAGGCAGCTGGGACCATAGTCACCAAGAAAACAATTGGTAACACACTACGCCGTGAAGAACTGAAATCCTGCAGCACCCGCAAGGTCCCCCTGCTCAAGAAAGCACATATACAGGCACGTCTGAAGTTTGCCAATGAACATCTGAATGATTCAGAGGAGAACTGGGTGAAAGTGTTGTGGTCAGATGAGACCAAAATCGAGCTCTTTGGCATCAACTCAACTCGCCATGTTTGGAGGAGGAGGAATGCTGCCTATGACTCCAAGAACACCATCCCCACCGTCAAACATGGAGGTGGAAACATTATGCTAAGGGGACAGGACAACTTCACTGCATCAAAGGGACGATGGACTGGGCCATGTACCGTCAAATCTTGGGTGAGAACCTCCTTCCCTCAGCCAGGGCATTGAAAATGGGTCGTGGATGGGTATTCCAGCATGGCAATGACCCAAAACACACGGCCAAGGCAACAAAGGAGTGGCTCAAGAAGAAGCACATTAAGGTCCTGGAGTGGCCTAGCCAGTCTCCAGACCTTAATCCCATAGAAAATCTGTGGAGGGAGCTGAATGTTCGAGTTGCCAAACGTCAGACTCGAAACCTTAATGACTTGGAGAAGATCTGCAAAGAGGAGTGGGACAAAATCCCTCCTGAGATGTGTGCAAACCTGGTGGCCAACTACAAGAAACGTCTGACCTCTGTGATTGCCAACAAGGGTTTTGCCACCAAGTACTAAGTCATGTTTTGCAGAGGGGTCAAATACTTATTTCCCTCATTCAAATGTTGTTGTTATTCTGTCTCTCACTGTTCAAATAAACTTACCATTTAAGATTATAGACTGATCGTGTCTTTGTCAGTGGGAAAACGTACAAAATCAGCAGGGGATCAAATACTTTTTTCCCTCACTGTACTTGGATGTGTAGTGTCAGCGTTTGTTGCTGGCATGTCATGCCCAAGTTAGCTAATCTTGCCAATTTAAAAAATCATTAAAGTAGTTGTCAATATCAGTGGGTTTTGTGATGAATGAACCATCTGATTCAATGAATAATGGGAGCTGAGTTTGCCTTCTTACCCAACATTTCATTTGAAGCTGCTCCAAAAGCTTTTTACTGTCATACACAAAAAAATAAAAATAATTATGCACGCATGACTGTAAGTGACTTTGGATAAAAGCGTCTGCTAAATGGCTTATTATTATTATTATTATTATTAATATTTATGTCATTTATCTTGTGTGTGTTTTAGGCCCACTCTGTACGTAGGGAAGCTGGACTCTCATCTTTATGCCTCCACCTCTCTGGTTCACGACGGAGTCTCTTTAGTGGTCAGTACAGCTGTCAAATCAACAGCAAATATACACTGAGTGTACAAAACATTAAGAACACCTGCTCTTTTTTTATAACAGACTGACCAGGTGAATCCAGGTGAAAGCTATGATCCCTTATTGATGTCACTTGTTAAATCCACTTCAATTCAGTGTAGATGAAAGGGGAGGAGACAGGTTAAAGAAGGATTTTTAAGCCTTGAGACAATTGAGAAATTGATTGTGTATGTGTGCCATTCAGAGGGTGAATTGGCAAGACAAAATATTGAAGTGCCTTTGAATGGGGGGGTATGGTAGTAGGTGCCAGGTGCACCGGTTTGTGTCAAGAACTGCAACGCTGCTGGGTTTTTCACGCTCAACAGTTTTCCTGTGTTGTATTCAGAATGGGTCCACCTACCCAAAGGGACATTCCAGCCAACTTGACACAACGTGGGAACGTATTGGAGTAGTAAATGTCAGGATCCCTGTGGCAATGCTTTGACCACCTTTAGAGTCCACGCCCTGACGACTTGAGGCTGTTAGGAAGGTGTTCCTAAATGTTTTGTATACTCAATGTAACAACACCAGCAACCAATCAGCATGTCAAACAACACACGAAAACCATAACAGTAAAAACCCCCCAAAACACACACAGCAACCAATCAGCATGTGTTTTAGTCCAGTACGTGATGTCAAATAAACACCTTTTTATCAGACTGTTTTTGAAAAACTTCTTTCTCTCTGAATTTGATTGGCTGATTCTTTGATGTGTTGATTGATGTGTTGCCATGGCAGGCCGCGGGGCTTGACGCTGGCGCGTTTACGAGGGACCTGAGACAGAGGAGGTGACGGTGAGAGAGAAAGGAGAGTGTGAGATCACCCCGTCTACCGATGTCCGATACCCGCCAGGCTCCACCAACACCCTGAACAACCAGTGGCTTCTCATAGTAACTACCCGCCAGGCTCACCAACACACTGAACAACCCGTAGGGTTCACTACCCCCCAGGCTCCACCAACACACCTGACAACCAGTAGGGTACTACCCACCATCTCCCCCAACACAACTGAACAAGAAGCCAGTAGGTAACTACCCGCCAGCTCCACCAACACACTGACAACCAGTAGGTAACTACCCACCAGGCCCACCAACACACTGACCACCATAGTAACTAACCACCGTCTCCACCAACACACTAACAACCAGTAGGTAATACGACCAGTCTCCACCAACGGCACGGAACAACCAGTAGGTAACTACCCGCCTGCTGCAACCAACACACTGCACTGAAAACAACCATCGGTAACTACCCGCCAGGTGCTGCCCAACACACTGAACAACCAGAGGTACTACCACCACCCAGGCTCACCAACACCTAAACAACCAGTGGCTTCTCATAGGTCCTACCCGCCAGGCTCCACCAAGCACACTGCACAAAACCAGTAGGTAACTACCCGCCAGGCTCCACAACACACACATTACACCGAACAACCAGTAGTAACTACCCGCCAGCTCCACCAACACACAAAACAAACAGTAGGTAACTACCCACCACCGCCAGGCTCCACCAACGACACTGAACACCATGGCTTCTCATAGTTGAACTACCCGCCAGCCTCCATCACCCACACCTGAACAACCAGTAGGTAACTATCCCGCCAGGCTCCACCACACACTGAACAACAGTAGGTAACTCCCCGCCAGGCTCCCAACACAACACTACACACCAGTATGTAATACACCCCCGCCAGGCTCGCCACCACACACTAACAACCATAGGTAACTACCCGCCCGGCTCCACCAACACACGGACAACCAGGGGGTAACTACCCACCGGCTCCACCCACACACTGAACACCTAGTTAACTACCCACCGGCTCCACCACCAACCCACTGAACAACCAGTAGTACCCTCGCCACCAGGCTGCCCAACACACTGAACAACCATAGGTAACTAACCTCCACCAGCGCCACAACACAGGACAACAGTAGGGTAACTCCCCCCCAGCTGCAACCAACACACTGAACAACCATGTATGTAACTACCCCCACCAGCGCCACCAACAACACTGGAACACCAGTAGGTAACGCCCCCCAGGCTCTCCCCAACACAACGGAACAACCAGTGTACGACCCGCCAGCTCCACCAACACACTTGAACCACCATCGTTACTCCACCCGCAGCTCCACCAACCACGAACAACCATTAGGTCTAACACTACCCACCAGCTCCACCAAAAACTGACAACCATAGGTACTACCGAACACCCCCCATGCTCCACCACCACTGACAACAGTAGGTAACTACCCCCAGGCTCCACCACAACTGAACAACCAGTTAGGTAACTACCCACCAGGCGCCCCCAACACACTGAACAACCATTAGTAACTACCCGCCAGGCTCACAACACACTAATAAACAACCATGCTTCTCATAGGTACTACCCTCCAGGCTCCCACCAACACACTGAACAACCATAGGTAACTACCCACCATGCTCCACCAACACCCTGACAACCAGTAGGTAACTACCCGCCAGGCTCCACCACAACTGAACAACCATATGGTAACTACCCGCCAGCTCCACCACCACTGAACAACTAGTAGTCACTACCCGCCAGGCTGCACCAACACCTACTGAACAAACCATCGGTAACTACCGCACCAGCTCCACCAACACACTGACAACCATAGGTTGAACAACCAGTAGGTCACGATCCCGCCATGCTCCACCGAAACACACTGAACAACGGTAGGTAAACTACCGCGCCAGGCTCCACCAACACACTGAACAACCATTAGGTAACTACCCGCATCTCCACCAACACACTGAACAACCAGTAGGGTAACTACCCACCAGCTTCCACCAACACACTGAACAACCAGTGCTTCTCTAGTAACTACCCGCCAAGGCCTCCCCAACAACACTGAACAAAACCAGTAGGGGGTAATACCCACCAGCTCCACCAACACCTGAACCACCGTAGGTACTACCCGCCAGGCCTCCCCCAACACACTGAACACCAGTAGGTAACTACCCACCAGGCTCCACCAACACACTAACAACAGTAAGGGTAACACCCCCAGTCTCCACCAAACATCTGAACAACCGTAGTATAACTACCGCCCCAGGCCTCCACCAACACACTGAACAACAGTAGGTAACTACCCGCCAGGCTCCCCAACACACTGACAACAGTAGTAACGTCCCACCCTCCAGCTTCCACCACTCACCTGAACAACAGTAGGTAACTCCCACAGGTGTCACCAACACACTGAACAACAACCATGGTAGTAGGTAACTACCCGCCAGGCTCCACCAACTCACTGAACAACCAGTAGGTAACTACCACCACGGCTCCACCAACACAGCTGACAACCAGTAGGTAACTACCCGCCATGCTCCAACCAACACAGCTGAACAACCAGTAGTAACTCCCACCAGGCTTCCACAAACACTGAACAACCATAGGTAACTACCCACCAGGCTTCCACAACAACTGAACACCAGTAGGTAACTACCCGCCAGCTCCACCAACACCCCTGAACAACATGGGCTCTCATAGGTAACGTACCCGGCCATCTCCACCAACCACACTGAACACCAGTAGGTAACTAACCACCAGCTCCACCAACAACACCTGAACACCAGTAGGTAACTACCCGCCAGCTCCACCACACACATCTGACAACCTAGGTAACTCCCGCCAGGCTCCACCAACTACACACACTGAAAACAACCATATGTAACTACCCGCCAGGCTCCAACCTAACCAACTGAATCAACCTTAGGTTAACTAACCCCCCAGCTCCACCAAACACTGAACAACCATGGCTTTCTCATAGTGCTACCCGCCAGGCTCCCCAACACAACTGAACAACCATGGTAACTACCCTACCCGCCTGCTGCACCAACACACTGAACAACCTAGGTAACTACCACCCCGTCTCCCCCAGACACACTGAACAACCAGTAGGTACTACCCGCCATGCTCCACCCCACACACTGAACAACAGTAGGTCACTAACCCGCCAGGCTGCCACCAACCACTGACAACCAGTGGCTGCTCATAGTAACTACCCGCCAGGCCTCTCCACCACATCAAACTGAACACCAGTAGTTAACTACCCGCCCGGCCGCACCAACACCCTGAACAAACCAGTAGGTAACTACCTACCCCCTCCAGCTCCACCAACACACCTGAAACCACCAGTAGGGTACTACCCACCACTCCACCAACACCCTGAACAACAGTGGCAACGCAGTAGGTAACTACCCGCCATGCTCCAACCAACACACTGAACAACCAGTGGTACTACCCCCTCCAGGCTCCACCAACACACTGAACAAACACAGTAGGTAACTACACCCCCGCCAGGCTCCACCACAGCACTGAGACAAACCGTGGTAACTACCCTCCAGCTCCACCAACCACTGAAACAACCAGTAGTAACTCCCACCAGGCTCCACCAACCCACTGAACAACCATAGGTAACTACCCCCCTCCAGGCTCCACCCAACACACTGACACCAGTAGGTTGAACACCCCCCATGCTCCACCAACAACACTGAACAACCAGGGCTTTCTCATAGTAATACCCGCCAGGCTCCACCAACACACTGAACAACATCGGTAACTACCCACCAGGCTCCACCAACACCGAACACCAGTAGGTAACTACCGCCATGCCCACCACACACTGAATCAACCAGTAGTTACTACCCGCCAGGCTCCACCAACACACTGAACCACCAGTAGTACTACCCGCCAGGCTCCACCACCACACTGAACAACCAGGAGTAACTACCCCCAGGCTCCACCAACACAACTAAACCACCAGTAGGTACTACCCGCCAGGCTCCACCAACCCACTGAACACCCAGTAGGTAACTACCCACCAGGCTCCACCAACACACTGCACAACCAGTAAGGTTAACCTACCCCCAGGCTCCACCGACACAACTGAACAACATAGGTATACCCCTAACCCCGCCGAGGCTCCACCCAACAACTGAACAACCAGTAGGTGAACTACCCGCAGGCTCCACAACACAACTGAACAACCAGTCAGGTCCAGCTACCCGCCAGGCTCCCCAACCACTTGAACAACCAGTTGCTGCTCATAGGTAACTACCCACCATGCTCCACCACACCTGACACCAGTTAGTGAATAACTACCCCCCAGCTCCCACCAACCACTGAAACACAGTAAGGTAACTCCGCTAACGTCTAAACCACACGGAGACAGCATACGCCAACCCAGCGGAGACAGCAGACGCCAACACACAGAGACACAGACTCCAACCACACGAGACAGCAGGACGCAACGCACACAGAGACATCAGACGCCAACCACACAGAGACAGCAATACGCCAAACCACAACAGAGACAGCAATACGTCCAACCACACAGAGACAGCAGACCCCAACCACAACAGAGAGACAGCAGAAACGCCAACCACAGAGACAGCAGAGACTCCAACCACAAGAGACAGCAAACCACAACAGAAGACAGCAGACTGCCAACCACACAGAGACATCAGACGCTAACCACACAGATACATCAGACCGCTTAACACACAGAGACAGCAGCCGCCAACCACAGGCCATCGACATACAGGACTCCAACCACACAGAGACAAGCATACCCCAACCACGAACAGATACAGCAGATACGCCAACTCACAGAGACATCATACGCCAACGCACCACACAATACAGCACCGCATCGGAGGACAGGTACGCCGAAGCCACCGAGAGGAGCAGGTATGATCAAGCAGGAAAACTGGTCCGATGCGGCGAAACAACGACGACAGCGAGGATTAGAGAGCAAACAAGCCCAACCCCAACAACAGACTAGTGGGTGTGGGGGCCACGAAGCAGTGTAATTAGTAGGCCACGTCTAAGGCAGGTAAACAAAGTCGAGGAGGATGTGAGACAGTAGAAGCCCTGACACTTTTCATCTACAACCAACACTCCTGGGTTGCTCTTCTCCTGAAGAAAGATAGTATCTTCCAAAGCAGGACTATCAGTCTGTGTGGCTCCAACAGTATGGTAATCATACTGAGACCACTGTTAGCCACGATGATCAACAGAGTATGCATCGGGGTATCTTACGAAAATCATATGACGCTATAGAATGTATCATCATATGCAGCATCAACGGAGCACTTACTGTGTGAGCTGAGCGTCTGCATAGTGACCACGCTTAAACCTGTCACTACTGTGTGATCATGCGGTGACCTGTCTCTGTCAGATCGTCTGATAGTGATTACAAGCGTCTACACATTCAAGAGACAGTCCTTCTCTTTGTGATGTTCGAGAGACGCTCAAACGCTTTCTACGGAGGAAGCCCGAACCATGTGACACACTGTCCTACGGCTAGACATGCATGTGGAGGGTATCAGAGCGAACAGTCAAAGCAGTCACCATGTGCAGACTAGCTATTAGAGAAACATCAACATAATGCTGCCACCACTAACAACCGAGAAAAGACGAGTCTACTCGTGTGTTTGGTGAGCGGTACCTTCTGTCTCTGTGTGTTTGGCACAGACAGAGACAAGTAGGAACAAATCAGACTCCAACCCCACGGACATACAGACGCCAACCACACAGAGAACAGCAACACTAACCCCCCGAGCGCAAATGACTCTCCCAAACCCCACAGAGCAGCAGACCTCTACCCAACCACACGATACAAAAGCTAGGACGCCACCCACACGGATACAGCAGACTCCAACCCACGTAGACATAGCAGACTCCAAACCACCCCAAAACAGAGACCGCATACTGCCAAACACACCTAGACATGCATACTCCACCACACATGAGACAAGCAGCATCGCCGCACAAACCACAGGCAATCGGATACAGCATACGCCAACCACACGGGGGGAGACATCAAGCCAACACACAAAGATAACAGCAACACCAACCCCCCATGAGACAGCAGACACACAATGTTCATTCATACGTCCTCATATTCATGTCATCTCCGTGTGTGTGTGTGTGTGGTGTGTGTGTGTGGTGTGTGTCGTCTGTGTGTGTCATCAGGACATCATGAGTTACCCCCGGTAGCCCACACCCACCATGTTTGAGAGACTTCCCGGTTAAACCTGCAGCGTTCCGGTGATGCCGTTATCCCGACCCGGTCTCAGAACCACCGCTATACAGACCATCCTGTGAGTTACAACCCCTTTTACTGCTGATCTCTAACCTCTGACCCTCTATCTAACCTTAACCCCAACTCACATACAGATCATCCTGGGAGTATCAGAATCCCCGGAGAAATCAAGCTTGGTTTTAACTTGGAGAAAATAGTAGGAAATACGAACTGTCAACTCAACTCTGGACTGAGCGCAGTTCTACTGTTCCCCTTCTAATCAGGGCCTGATTTAGACCTGGACCAGTTCTACTGGTCCCTTCTGATCAGGGGCCTGATTTAGACCTGGACCTGGAGCCAGTTCTACTGTTCCCTTCTAATCAGGGCCTGATTTAGACCTGGACCTGGAGCCAGTTCTACTGTTCCTCTCTAATCAGGGCCTGATTTAGACCTGGACCTGGAGCCAGTTCTACTGTTCCCTTCTAATCAGGGCCTGATTTAGACCTGGACCTGGAGACAGTTCTACTGTTCCCTTCTAATCAGGCCTGATTTAGACCTGGACCTGGAGCCAGTTCTACTGTTCCCTTCTGATCAGGCCTGATTTAGACCTGGTCCTGGAGCCAGTTTCTACTGTTCCTCTCTAATCAGGGCCGTTATTTAGACCTGGACCTGGTGAGCCAGTGGCTACTGTTCCCTTCTAATCAGGGCCTGATTTAGACCTGGTCCTGGAGCCAGTTCTACTGTTCCTCTCTAATCAGGGCCTGATGTTAGACCTGACCTGGAGCCAGTTCTACTGTCCCCTCTAATCATGTCCTATTTAGACCTGGCACCCTGGAGCCATTCTACTGTGTACCCCCTCTACTCAGCCGGAGTTTATACCTGGAACTCTGTGAGGAAAGTTCGACTTGTTCCCTTCTAATCAGGGCCTTATTTCAGACCTGGCCCTGGAGCCAGTTCTACTGTTCCTCTCTAATCAGGGCTGATTTAGACCTGGACTCTGGAGCCATTCTACTGTTCCTCTCTAATCAGGGCTGATTTAGACCTGTACCTGGACCAGTTCTACGGTCCTTCTAATCAGGCCTTATAGACCTGGACCGGACCAGTTCTATCTGTTCCCCTCAATCAGGGGGCTGATTTGACCTGTGGAGCCAGTTTCTACTGTTCCTCTCTAATCAAGGCCTGATTTAGACCTGGACCTGGAGCCAGTTCTACTGTTCCCCTCTAATCAGGGCCTGATTTAGACCAGGACCTGGAGCCAGTTCTACTGTTCCTCTCTAATCAGGGCCTGATTTAGACCTGGACCCAGTTCTGCTGTTCCTCTCTAATCAGGGCCTGATTTAGACCTGGACCTGGAGCCAGTTCTACTGTTCCTCTCTAATCAGGGCCTGATTTAGACCTGGACCTGGAGCCAGTTCTACTGTTCCTCTCTAATCAGGGCCTGATTTAGACCTGGACCTGGAGCCAGTTCTACTGTTCCTCTCTAATCAGTGCCTGATTTAGACCTGGACCCAGTTCTGCTGTTCCTCTCTAATCAGGGCCTGATTTAGACCTGGACCTGGAGCCAGTTCTACTGTTCCCCTCTAATCAGGGGCTGATTTAGACCTGGGAGACCAGGCGTGTGCAATTAATTATCCGGTAGAACAGAAAACCAGCAGGCTCTGGACGTCGTAGGTTGAATACCTCTGGAATATAACTTTATAATCCACCCAGACATGCATTCATCTTTAGCTCACAACGCTTTTGCATTTCATCCCCCCTCTCCTCCTCTTAACCCCCTCCCCTCCTCTCCTCTTTAGTTCCAGTCAGTAGGTCATGGTGGTGGGGGCCGTGGAGGTGGAGGGGGTCGTGGTTTGGGTCCTAGCGGCAGCAGAAGGATCCTAGCAGGCTCAGGATCAAAGTCAGGGTTGTCCTCTGTCCTGCCTGACTATATATACCAGGACCCTGTTACCGTGGTGATACTATCTCTACTGCTGGGAGGATGGCTTGCCTTCGCTCTGACTTATCCACAGGTGAGTACTACAGGACAGGGTGGGATGTGAGTCAGGGTTTTCCCAGAGGACAATGTGACCGGCAAGATTTTTAATTTACCGGACATTTGAGAAATGTAACAGACTCGTATGCATTAGGTGCGCAACCCAATCCCCGATGCTCAGAATGACAGAAATCACATTTAGATGATGGTGATTCATCTTAACAGAATAGAAATTAGCCTGTAAAGCTGTAATACAATTAAGTAGAATTATGTTATTTTACCAACGTGACAGGTTTTATTGAAAAGTAAAACATTGCCCGTTGTATCTTCATCCCTGCTATGAATCATAAATGGAAGAAATAAAACTTTTAAAAAATCATTCAGGCTAGAAGAGCAAGTCTCCTGCGCAGTAATAAAACACAGTAGCAAAATATTCTATTGTTATGATAGAACAGGTCTGTCGCACATTCTATCTGTGGGAACATTTTAATGAGTAAATAACAAAACATGTTGAAGACAAAATGGCAAATCTGACCATAACTCTATCCTCCTGATTCCTGCTTATAAGCAAAAACTAAAGCAGGAAGCACCAGTGACTCGGTTAATAAGGAAGTGGTCAGATGACGCAGATGCTAAGCTACAGGACTGTTTTGCTAGCACAGACTGGAATATGTTCCGGCATTCTTCCGATGGCATTGAGGAGTACACCACATCAGTCGCTGGCTTCATCAATAAGTGCTTCGATGACGTCGTCCCCACAGTGACCGTGTAGCTCAGTTGGTAGAGCATGGCGCTTGCAACGCCAGGGTTGTGGGTTCGATTCCCACGGGGGGCCAGTATGAAAAAATATGTATGCACTCACTAACTGTAAGTCGCTCTGGATAAGAGCGTCTGCTAAATGACTAAAATGTAAATGACCGTACTTACATATCCCAACCAGAAGCCATGGATTACAGGCAACATCCGCACCGACCTAAAGGCTAGAGCTGCCGCTTTCAAGGAGTGGGACACTAACCCGGATGCTTATAAGAAATCCCGCTATGCCCTCCGACGAACCATCTAACAGGCAAAGTGTCAAGACAGGACTAAGATTGAATCCTACTACACCGGCTCTGATGCTCGTCGGATGTGGCAGGGCTTGCAAACTATTATGGATTACAAAGGGAAACCCAGCTGCGAGCTGCCCAGTGACGTGAGCCTACCAGACGAGCTAAATGCCTTCTTTGCTCGCTTCGAGGCAAGCAACACTGAAGCATGCATGAGAGCACCAGCTGTTCAGGACGACTGTGTGATCATGCTCTCCGTAGCCGATGTGAGTAAGATCTTGAAACAGGTCAACATTCACAAGGCCGGAGGGCCAGATGGATTACCAGGACGTGTACTCCGAGCATGCACTGACCAACTGGCAAGTGTCTTCACTGACATTTTCAACCTCTCCCTGACCAAGTCTGTAATACCTACATGCTTCAAGAAGACCACCGTAGTCCCCGTGCCCAAGGACTCTAAGATAACCTGCCTAAATGACTACCACCCCGTAGCACTCACGTCTGTAGCCATAAAGTCCTTTGAAAGGCTGGTCATGGCTCACATCAACACCATTATCCCAGAAACCCTAGACCCACTACAATTCACATACCGCCCCAACAGATCCACAGATGATGCAATCTCTATTGTGCTCCACACTGCCCTTTCCTACCGGGACAAAAGGACCAACTATGTGAGAATGCTATTCATTGACTACAGCTCAGCGTTCAACACCATAGTGCCCTCAAAGCTCATCACTAAGCTAAGGACCCTGGGACTAAACATCTCCCTCTGCAACTGGATCCTGGACTTCCTGACTGGCCGCCCCCAGGTGGTAAGGGTAGGTAACAACACATCTGCCACGCTGATCCTCAACACTGGGGGGCCCCTCAGGGGTGCGTGCTTAGTCCCCTCCTGTACCTGCATGACTCCAACACTGTCATTAAGTTTGCCGACGACACAACAGTGGTAGGCCTGATCACCGACAACAATGAGAAGCCTATAGTGAGGAAGTCAGAGACCTGGCAGTGTGGTGCCAGGACAACAACCTCTCCCTCAATGTGAGCAAGACAAAGGAGCTGATCGTGGACTACAGGAAAACGAGGACTGAGCACGCCCCCATTAACATCGACGGGGCTGTAGTGGAACAGTTTGAGAGCTTCAAGTTCCTTGGTGTCCACATCACCAACGAACTATCATGGTCCAAACACACCAAGACAGTCGTGAAGAGCGAACGACAAAGCCTATTCCCCCTCAGGAGACTGACAAGATATGGCATGGGTCCTCAGATCCTCAAAAAGTTATACAGCTGCACCATTGAGAGCATCCTGACTGGTTGCATCACCTTCTGGTACGGCAACTGTTCGGCCTCAATGTTCCCTCTAAGAATTGACAGGCCGCACAGAGACGTAAGAGATGGAACTTCACTGAGTTCGCCCCATTAGTTTGCACGATATACAGTGCATTTGGAAAGTGTTCAGACCCCTTGACTTTTTCCCCATTTTGTTACGTTACAGCCTTATTCTAAAATTGATTAAATTATTTTTTACTCATCAATCTACACACAATACCCCATAATGACAAAGCGAGAGCAGGTTTTTAGACATTTTTGCAAATGTCAAAAAAAATAAAAAAAATATCACATTTACATAAGTATTCAGACCCTTTACTCAGTACTTTGTTGAAGCACTTTTGGAAGTGATTACAGCCTTGAGTCGTCTTGGGTATGACGCTACAAGCTTGGCCCACCTGTATTTGGGGAGTTTCTCCCATTCTTCTCTGCAGATCCTCTCAAGCTCTGTCAGGTTGGATGGGGAGCGTCGCTGCACAGCTATTTTCAGGTCTCTCCAGAGATGTTAGATCGGGTTCAAGTCCGGGCTCTGGCTGGGCCACTCAAGGACATTCAGAGACTTGTCCCGATGCCACTTCTGCTTTGGCTTGGCTGTGTGCTAAGGGTCATTGTCCTGTTGGAAGGTGAACCTTCGACCCAGTCTGAGGTCCTGAGCGCTCTGGAGCAGGTTTTCATCAAGGATCTCTCTGTACTTTGCCCCGGTTATCTTTCCCTCGATCCTGACTAGTCTCCCAGTCCCTGCCGCTGAAAAACATCCCCACAGCATGATATTGCCACCCCCATGATTCACTGTAGGGATGGTTTCTTCCAGATGTGACGCTTGGCATTCAGGCCAAATAATTCAATCTTGGTTTCATCAGACCAGAGAATCTTATTTCTCATGTTCTGAGAGTCCTTTAGGTGCCTTTTGGCAAACTCCAAGCGGGCTGTCATGTGCCTTTTACTGAGGAGTGGCTTCTGTCTGGCCACTCTACCATAAAGGCCTGATTGGTGGAGTGCTGCAGAGATGGTTGTCCTTCCGGAAGGTTCTCCCATCTCCACAGAGGAGCTCTTGGGTTCTGCCTGACCAAGGCCCTTCTCCCCCGATTGCTCAGTTTGGCTGGGCGGCCAGCTCTAGGAAGAGTCTTGGTACCCTTCCAAAATCTGTGCCTAGACACAATCCTGTCTCTGAGCTCTACGGACAATTCCTTCGACCTCATGGCTTGGTTTTTGCTCTGACATTCACTGTCAATTGTGGGACCATATATATACAGGTATGTGGCTTTCCAAATCATGTCCAATCAATTGAATTTACCACAGGTGGACTCCAATCAAATTGCAGAAACCAGTGGCGGTCATTGCTGTTTAAGATGAGGGAGGACTCTTTTTTTTCATGAGCAAGGCCTTATTTCTATTACAGCATATTGGATGACTGTCATGCAGTCATGGGTGAACAAGGGGGGGCTGAGCACGCACCCTTGTGGGGGCCCTGTATTGAGGATCAGCGAAGTGGAGGTGTTGTTTCCTACCTTCACCACCTGGGGGCGGCCCTTCAGGAAGTCCAGGACCCAGTTGCACAGGGCGGGATTTCAGACCCAGGGCCCCGAGCTTAATGATGAGCTTGGAGGGTACTATGGTGTTGAAGGCTGAGCTATAGTCAATGAACAGCATTCTGACGTAGGTATTCCTCTTGTCCAGATGGGATAGGGCAGTGTCCAGTGCGATGGCGATTGCATCATCTGTGGAGCTATTGGGGCGGTAAGCAAATTGCAGTGGGTCTAGGGTGACAGGTAAGGAAGAGGTGATATGATCCTTGACTAGTCTCTCAAAGCACTTAATGATGACAGAAGTGAGTGCAACGGGGCAATAGTAATTTAGTTCAGTTACCTTTGCTTTCTTGGGTACAGGAACAGTGGTGGACATCTTGAAGCAAGTGGGGACAGCAGACTGGGATAGGGAGAGATTGAATATGTCCGCAAACACTCCAGCCAGCTGGTCTGCACATGCTCTGAGGACGCGGCTAGGGATGCCTTGCGAGGGTTAATACACTTAAATGCCTTACTCACGTCGACCACGGAGAAGGAGAGCCCACAGTCCTTGGGAGTGGGCCGCGTCGGTGGCACTGTGTTATCCTCAAAACGGGTGAAGAAGGTGTTTAGCTTGTCTGGGAGCAAGACGTCGGTGTCCGTGACGTGGCTGGTTTTCCCTTTGTAGTCCGTGATTGTCTGTAGACCCTGCCACATACGTCTCGTGTCTGAGCCGTTGAATTGCGATTCCACTTTGTCTCTGTACTGACGTTTGGCCTGTTCGATTGCCTTACGGAGGGAATAACTACACTGTTTGTATTCAACCATATTCCCAGTCACCATGGTTAAATGCGGTGGTTCGTGCTTTTAGTTTTGCGCAATGCTGCCATCTATCCACGGTTTCTGGTTTGGGTAGGTTTTAAAAGTCACAGTGGAACAACATCCCCTATACACTTCCTGATGAACTCAGTCACCGTGTCTGTGTAAACGTCAATGTTATTCTTAGAGGCTACCCGGGAACATATCCCAGTCCGCGTGATCTAAACAATCTTGAAGCATGGACTTGATTGGTCAGATCAGCATTGACTAGACCTTAGCACG